TTTACTATCCTCAAGTTACACAGAAAACACTCCAGGAGATAAAAGCCATATTTATCTCAAGTTTGTCGATTGTTAGTGCTCTCTCCTTTGAAGACTTGAAAGACAAATATAAAGAAAAATGAAGTTTTCTAAAATCGTGTGCATATACCAATTATTTACAGTAGATCAGTAAGCCACAAAAATCTATCACAAGTTTAGTGTTAGGTTAGAGTTAGAATTTGAGGTAGGGTGGTACTTACTCTATTAATTTTAAATGTATATTAGTCTTATTTGTTCTTTTTCCAAACACAGTTTATGATTACAAATCACAGAAACTAACTGCACAGCTTCCAACCAGGGTGTTTTTTAAGGCACTGAAGAAGTTTAATTACATAATGTCTAGTCCTAGACTTGAACATAAACATACACATATACCTGCTAACAGAATATATGGAATGTAGTTGAGATATGCAATACAGCCATAAACTAATGTGGTTAAGTTATCTAAAAATAAAGAAATTGTTGTAATTAATTTGACATAAAATTATAAACTCTAACAGTCTAACATTTACTTTAAAAAATTGTTACAATAATTACTCTCTATGTATTGATAACCTTATGCATATAGCTACACTGTATTTAAAATACCAGCTTTATTTAAAAAAAATAAAAAGAAAAAAATCATTTCCATTGCTCTAAACAACACTCTGTGTGCAGCCTGGATGTGCACACACATGCACACGATGCACACATACGCTCATACACAGACACTCCTAATCTTACACCTGTTCTGAAGCAGTAGGAAGTGAATTCTCAACCTGTCAACATGACCATCTGGTCCAACTGCATATCACGGCTTTCTCTATTACTCTATGAAGGAATGGCAATCACAAAGCCAAAATAAAACTAAAATGCACCTAAATAGGGAGTCTCTCTCTCTCTCTCTCTCTCTCTCTCTCTCTCTCTCTGTTGAAACGGAATAATACGTGGCATATCAGAGCAAAACTCACAGTAATATAAATAATTTAAAATGAGCATTCACGCTAGCATAATAAGGTGAATAATATGGTACAGGTGATACGGTCATCAGTAATACTGCAGTACAGGTTTACAGGACAGGTACCAGAATTCCGAGACATGGCAACAGCTCTTTCAGTTAGTGACAAGACCATTGCTAACCCTAGTCCAAGCAAAGCTAAGTAAAGGTAGTAACAGGGGCAGCATGAAAGCAATCAGTAACTATTGTACTAAAACATCACCATGCAAAAAATGTTCACTTATACCTTAAAACTAACCAAGTACTCGTGCTACCAGTAGGACAAATTCAATTTTCTCTGTCACTGGTTAATTAACAATGACAGCAATTAGCTGGGAAATTTTGGTCATTTATTTATCTTTCAAAGTAAATTTTAAGACCACTAAAAACACTTCCAATCTCAGAAAATTCCTCATATGCAAAAAGTGAGGATGCTCATTGTGATTTAGCACTTGGGCCCAACTTACAAACTAGCACAGGCCAAACTGAATTAAACATAATTTTATTTGTTTAATTTTTATTTTTAAACACCTCCAAGCAGCTGCCTCAGAGCTTTCATTCTACTCCCCCCGCCCGCTAAAAAAAAGCAGGTAATAAGTATGAAAAATAACGTGTAACACTGTCATTCCGTGGTCTAGATACAACAACTTACCTCTAATGCAAGAGATGCGTTCTTAAAAATCTAACTTCTTACAAAATTTAACTAACTCAGCTGAAAAGCTCCCTAGAATCTGTTTACATTACCAGAAGTTATACAGAAGCAGTTTAAAAAAAAGAAAAAAAAACAACAACAACAAAAAACTCTCCAGAAAGTTCTCGGTTGAGTGCCTACTAATGAACAAAGGTTAACTTTATCTAAAAGGTCAAATGCCTGGTGGCTAAGGTTATGACCTTAACAACTTAAATTGTGACCTTGCCACGTGCCGGGTATATTGTAGATTCTGATACAGATCATCTGGTAAAGACTGGCCATAAATTAGCTTTACTGTTACATGCCCACAAAGAATACCATTTGCCACAATACCATAATATCTCCAAGTTGCCATATGATACAGGGGAAGGACAACTCAAATAGAGACCAAACTAAAATGAATATGCTCTTTTATACTTTTAACGAGATGAAATTCTCAGACCTTTGGAATCACTCTGATTTCATTATCCTTGTTACTGTTTATCGGCCACAAAATTCACACAGTTCGAATAGCCCTGGATTTACAGGAAAAATTTGGAATGTAATTTATGTATTGTATTTTAGCATCTCAATAAGTCTCAGGCTAAATCTGCTCTGCTTTAAAAAAAAAAAAAAAAAGATTGATTCTGCATTAGTTTCCAGCATTTACATGTGTGTTCCAAGATTTCAACTTCCTACCAAAGAAGAGGCTGAGAAATAAAGCAATAATTGTACACATTTTTTGGAAGAAAAAAAAAAAACACCTCCCTTCTGTGGCCAGCTATGGGGGAAAAAAGGAGACTTTGGGGGAGAAAACAATATAGGACACTTTAAAGAAAGAGAGAGGTGGGGGGAGCGGGCTGTAGGTGAAAAGGCCACAATGATTTTGGCATGTTTCTTGGAGCACGTTTCAGAGTCTCTGCCTCCTGCCAATACTGGCAAGTTCTCAAAACTTTTAAGGAGGTAAAAACATTGTTTAGTGTTTACAAATCTTCAGTATTATAACAGATGCTTGTCAAAGCAGTAGTATGTAAGTTGACCGGCCTACCTCGTATTTGTATTGGCAGCCTCCCTTCCACAAATAACAGGTCTCTAAATCTCTTAAATCAAATCTGAAATATTTTCAGACAAAAGGCCCCTAATATTTCCTTTTGCAATCATCCTGCGGCGCGTACAGAGAAGCAGCCATTACCGCGCTCTGCTCCGGCAAAACCAATGGCCTGGCACTTGGCTGGCGTTCAGGCCTGACAAGGGATTCTGGGATACATCAGGAAAACCAAACCGAAAGGTAGTCTGATCCATGTTGCTGCCAATAAATCTTTCATAAGCAATAAGGATGCTAACTCTCCTAAGCAACGGTCGACACATCATTTTACCAACCTCACCCTTTAAGTATTGAAACAACCAGCAACTGTTAGCTCAAGGACTTGGAGCGACAGCACCGGTAACAGCATCAACAACAAAAGAGAATGCATGTCATGACAATAGCTAGAGAGGTCGCATCTCTTAAATCTAAAGGAGATGTTTACATCTAGAACTTAGAATGGATACTGCTCACACCAATAAAAGCATAACCGGTATTTCATTCTGATGGCACCTTTAAGGAAGCACAAAACATACCATGATGCGCATCACCTGTTGGCACCCTCAATTTTCAATTAGAGCATGACTTAATTTATAAAATACTTCCGAAATATTAAAAAGATTAAATACATTTTATAAAATGTTCCCTGACAGCACTTAGAACACCCATTTTTTCTTTGCACCTTGCCTTTCCTTATGAGAATCTCCACTTATATATGCAAATAAATTTTTAAAAAATTTAACTTGGCTTTTTCAAAACACAAAACAAAGTAACAACAATGGGATGGTAAAGGGGTTAAGAAAGGACTACTTTTCCTGTGTAAAGGTCATTTGAGAGGTGTGCCTTTTCATTACCGCCACCCAAAACTGGCTGAAGCAACAGGCACTTCTTATAATTACATATAAACATTTTCAGAAACCCAAACATTTTAAACACTTACAGATCACATCCTCTAAAATACTTATCTGTCCCCTACCAACAGAATGCAAATGATGATGAGACATGCTTGCAAAGTTAATTTCTCCAGTTTCTTATGTAAGGAAAGATGGATAACAAAAGTTCTCTTTCTAAAACATATACTGAGAAAAATAATAGAGAATAGGATTTCAGCTCATTTCTTTAAAATATAGCTTGCATCCTGATAATTAAAAATGTTTTGCAAAACAGTACAGTGTTGGTTTTACAGATAGTATCTTCTCTCTCCTTTGTGAAAAAAATATGTAATTATATGAACCCCAAAACAATCTACTGGTAGGATTCCACAACCTTCTTTCTTCCATCAGGCTCAAGTAACTGCCATGAAGGTGATCTACCACGACCGATATGTACATATAAAAAGTCAACAAGTTACACAAGATCTGAGCTTTCACATAACACAATGAGCCTTTTGTCTAAAACAAGATGAAAGGAACAAAGTAAAAATGCATTATTTTATCCAGTCCTCAATAGTTTTATCCTCAATGCTACTCTAACTGCTGTGATATGCATAGGTAAAACATGCCCTGGAAACAGCCCTGAAACAATAAATACTTTTATTATAAATCAAAGCAACTCACTAAACCAATTATCAACATGGATTTCTCAATGCACTCATGCACTATACGGGTTGGTTACTTTTAAGGTTAACCTCTCCATCAATTACTTAAAAGAGTTGGTTTGCTTCTTCCCTTAGCTATCTGAGACAACACGAAACGTTCCTAAATACAAAGCTACTAAGTCTGCATATTAATGTAAATCTTTTTCCCTCATAAATGATCAGCAATTTAATAACAATAATCTCACCTCCAACCTCATCTTAATTAGCAAGGTGTTCAAGAGGCCCCCGTAGGTTAAAAACATTCCCAGAAGAAAAGCCACTAAAAATATTGCCTCACTACCAAACCACATGCTTTTTAACTAGATCAGCTTGCCAGGTAAAATACACCCTTTATTACAAGAGTTTTTATGAGGCTTCTCTGCCCATCATCAAAAATTGTGATTTAAACATATCGCATAACTGACTACCCGACACCTTTGATAACACCACTTGCCAAAAGAACTCAACTTAGTGCGAATTCTCTCAAAGCTATGCTTTTCCATCTGCATGAAGGTGGCACCCCAGACACCGGGGCCGTTCTGACTTGGGCCCACCTTTGAAACCACGCTGTGCATGTGCACAGGCACGTACAGGGGTCATCAGGAAAGAAACACACACAAGAGAAAGTGGAAGGACTTCTCACCATCGCACTTACCTGCTGCATGCACAAAGTATGCCAAATATAAATCGAGTTCCTTAACAGAAACCCCTATGTGATGGGGCTGGACACAGAGCCCTGGATTGGAGCACTGCGGGGACTTTACAAGGCGCTCGCCATCAGTACTTTCGAGCGGAATACCTTTAAATAAAATCACCATAACCAGGTCCAACCTCCAGACTTTATCTGCCTGGCGGAGGCAGTCAATTCTTCGCATCTTGCCTTTCTGGTCTGGGTTGGAAAGAACACAGCATGGAGGCTTTTTCCCTGTAACTGTAAGCACAAAATCCTCTCGGTACTCAGGTCGGATATCTTTCCGTAACTTGGCCAGAAGTCGAGATGCCCACTTCTGCTTGACCTCTGGTTTTTCACTTAGCAACTCGTCCTTCACGGCTCTCTCTTCTTCTTTTGACATACGCTTTTCATGTTTTTTGAAGTATTTTCGTTTTCGGGCCTGCAGGTTGAACCATGTGTAGGCGAAGGCTCGGACGTGGGGCAGAAGGGCTTCGATGAAAGGATGGAATTCATCCTAGGGAAATGAATATAAACAAAAGTATGACTACACGGAAAACAAAAAGAAACAACTTTTTTTTTTCAGATGGTCACCATCAAAAAAAAAAAATCTTTATTTCACTTGAAATTTGATGCAAGGATTAAATTACCAAAATCGTATATAGAATCCCTACGGGAAGTCCAAGAGGGAAAAAAGAAAGCGACCGGTATTATTTCTCACAACCTCAAAGGTGAAAATTGCTAAAAATTAAAAAATGTTTTGGTATAGTCACCCAAGCATCCCAGGTTCTATGGTCCAGTCGTCATTGCAAATCCTTTAGCTAGTAAGTAAAGTTTATCGAAATGCTTATAACAATATATAATCCTAACCCTATTTCAAGGAAGGCATATCTAATTTTGCTCCAGCCTTGACCTCACTACTTGTAGTACAGCCAGGGTTCAGCCGCCAGATTGGCAAATCCTAAACATTTAGATGCCAGTCAATGTTTATGGAAGTCTAGGAGCAGAAATCGTCTCCGCAATCAATGAAAATAAAGACTTTCCCTCTAAAAACACTGTATGTAGACTCTGATCTGTGTCTTAGTCATTTTGGTAACATCTGAATTCCTTTTTAAGGATTCCAGTTGTACGTAAATATTTTTAGTCAAAAACTTAAGAAAAATATGTCAGAGGACCACATACAAAAGAAGAGATGAATCTGATATTCATCAGACTAAAATAAAAGATCTATGTCCAAGACATAATTTCTGATAGTATGGGAATGAAACAAAAAGGGGGTGGGACAAAGAAAAGCGTACATTCCAGATAGTAAACAGAATGTGTCACTGTGACAACAGTGTTGCAACTAAATACATTTAATTTACTGATATTATTGTGAAATGCCTTCAGTAATGATCATCCCTTAAAAAACAAAGTAATTATTTAACTTTTGAAAATAATATTTCAGGCTTTTCCTCACAGGAAAAAGGAGAACCTGATATATTCAATGTTTATGAGACTCCAGGAAAACTGTCATTGTTGCCTCTTAAAATTCAAGTAATTTGAAAATAAAAATGGAATTTAAAATATTTAAATTTTTCTTACTGTTTTACTGAAGATGTTTGATTCTTTTACTTGACATTTTCTTAGTAAATATAAAAATAAAATTAAAGAAAAATTAAACAGTAACCTCCACAAAGCTTTCTCAGTACATCTAACTTTTGATTAACCAACCCACACTAATCTTACATAACTTTTCTCTGCCGCACAACCCCCCAAAAAGATAAATTATTTACTTTCAAATAAAAGAGAATAAGAAAATCAAAGAGATACTTGATGACTTTTTTAAAGAGTGTAGGACAGACAAATATTATAAAATGCATTCTTTTTCAGTTCGTAATATCCATCTAAATATATACTTTGGAGACAGAATTAACTGCAGTGTCCAAAATACTACTACTATTAAAAATTATTAAATTTTTAGATGTTCAAATGTAAACTGAGTGGTTAAAACTGGTAAAATATTTTAACAATGAAGTCTTTTAAAATATAATAAATTATCTAAACTACAGATTATTGTTTTGAAAAGTATATATTAATAAAATACATACTAAATCATTTCAATAAATGACATTTCTTTTTTTCCTCTCTGAATAAATTTCAGGCTCTGTATTTCAAGTTTAACTTTGAAAACTGCTCTTTTTCAATAAAAGCATCCAAGAAGTCAGCTTTTATAACATGTGAGCCTTCTTTAAGTGAAGAGGGAACAGAAAAAAAAAAGAAGAATTATATTATCCTTTACCAAAAACCCTTAGCATTTTTCAATTTCTGATGTTTGAAAAATCTTTCTTACTGCCATACTATAGAAGAGAGAAATGGGGGGGGGGCAATTTTCAAGTCACAGTTTATCTACTAAGATACATGCCACACCACAAAGCATTTAAACATTACTAAATTCTGAGCTCATCCTTGAAATGCTCTAAAATACATAAATTTGGAGTTTGAAATGGTCCTTCACATTGACTGATTTTATTATATACATAGGACATACTAGGGACCAAGGCTGTATGGCATTATGCAAAGAACTCCTGGAGCCTACCTTAACTACAAAGCGAGCTTTCACCAAAAGGAGGATTTTATTTTAAAGTCTCAGCCCTATTTTATAATGCGAAGAATAGCATAGTTCCAAACAATTCATATTTATGCTAAAACATTATCTTATTAGAAAGCTTTATTAATAATAAACATTTTAAATAAGCATTCTAATATGGCATTTAAGTGCTCAAAGATACTCCCAACATGTTTCTCGGAGAACGGAGAACTGCGTTCATTCGTGTTCAAGAGGATTTTGTTTACCTGCCAACCAAATAAGGTCAACTATGTCAACTAAACATTAAGAATAATCTAAGTCCCCATTTTTGCATCAAAAGTTTTTATAACTTATTACTCCCCAAAGGTTTCAAGAATGTGCCAATAAAAGTGCACAATATTTTGTATAACTTTACACACATGCACAATTAAAGTGCTAGTTATCTTTCTCAACTCACAATTAGAAATATTCCAGAACATCAGAACTAAAGAATATCATTCACTTGTAGGAAATGTCCAGGTATAGCATACATTAGATTTTTTAAAAATAGTATGCCTTTACAAATAATGTTACTGCACATATAGCCATAAGTTATGTAATATTTCAAAATAGTCAAGAGAAAACAAAGAATGTTTTACATATGTACTCAGTGAGAAAGTTACCGGCCCCCAATAAAAACAAACCTGAAAACCTGTTTCCAAAGCGATATGACTTTCAATCAGCACCTTAAACGTTGATCAGTTTCTAAGTAAGCCAAGTTTAAGAACCACTGAATGCTGGCATTTCTGGGATTGCTTCTCAAATGTTCACCTATAAATTTCTACTGTGTTACCATGCTGTGGCCAGGTACATGGTTTGCTTATGATATGCCTGTATATTAAAATAAGATGTCTGGTATTTTTCTGATAAAGTTTTTAAAAATTGCATACACGTATATGGAGTTTAATCTTTCATTGAGGGTACTTTTATCCCTGTGCTTACTGGACTTTCTTTAGAGACCAATAAGCTACCTGAGTTTTTCTTTTTAAAAATTGGCTCTAAAGCTCTATAAATATTCCATCAGGTTAAATAAATTGTAAATCAATTTTTAAAAGAAGAAATCATAAAATATATGGCCTTCATTTGCTATTTAGTATATATTTTCTTCACAAACTGATATACTAAGTAAGCGTTTCTCTTAGTGGTGCTTCCAGAAGAAGGCCTAGTGAATGTATCAATCACACTGCCAAATATGTTTAAAGAAAAAAAAAACCAACTTTCTTAATGTGATAATAGCTCATAAGCCAAGAAAATCCAACTTTGTTAAATAACTAACTATACCTTGGGCCTACATAGATACACAGGTATCCTATGTGCACCATCTCAAAATATAAATTTAATTTTGAAAGCTCACTTGAGAAGACGCTAATGTATCCTACTATTGCAGCACACTGGTATTATCTACAAGTTCTATGTGTTGCAAACTTTTGCCAGCTAGAACTTCAGTCTTTGAATCTCAGCATTTTCACTGTGGTCCTTGCAACTTATTCAAATTATCTTACACTTTGCATCTTATCCATATGCAATTGTGAACTTTGCCAGAGTGGTTGAAAAGTTTCACTCCATACTTCCACAAGTTACTAAAATAGGAACTTTGGAAGTTTGTTAGGGAAAAATAAAAAATAAAAACTTTTACAATAACTAAAAGCAACTGCTATCCATTATTAATGCTAGGCCTAAATCCTAAACAGACCATTTCAGCATAAAATATGCATTTAAGAGTCTTCTGAGATCAAATAACCAGTATTTTTACTGTTAGATATTGCAATATGAAGAGATGTCATGTGGGAAATAAATCCAGACTCTACAGAGGGGAGGAATATCTATTGATACTTTTTAGCCTTCCAGAAAGTATTCCGATTAAACCGTTATCTCCTGCAAAATGAAGGCAAGAAGTGGTAGCAGGTTTTTTTTTTTTTTAAGGGAGTGGTGAATAAACATTTTATATGAAGCATACAACTTCATGCAAGTGATTAATGGTCAGATCGCAATGTACCAAAACAGTATGAAGGCTCACACTTTTTTCCTTTCCTTTTTTTCCCCCCACCGCAAAATCACTTTTGACTTCGTGCCTTTTAGTCAAAGAAAATAATATATTCAAAAGGGACCAGATTTTGGAGCCATGAAGTAGCAATATTTTGCCTGGGGGTGGTGCAGGCAATAGAGAGGTGGAAAGGGAGGGCATGGAGAGGAGGGGTGGTGGGCGAGAAAGACCCACGCTCCGAGTTGAATCGGAGAAGAAAGTTGCCCCTGTCCTGCGCGCGGAGCGTACTGAGTCGCACGGCGGCGGCGGCGGCGGGGCGGTGGCG